AAAGATGAATGTATTATAAAAAATGTTAAGTAGCACTGCGACGTGTCGCACGAAAAGCCACGTGAAGCATATATAATCCTTTTGGTAGGCAAAGTACTTTGTGGCGCATACTGTAAAACTGCGTACTTCATGTGCAAGAAATAAAAACTACAAAATTTTACCAAAAACTGTAAGACATCTAGATGTTCCGAAATGAATGTTAATTCAAAATTCAAGGTATTCAGTATATTATGCCTTTTTTTTCCTTTTGCAAGACGACGCTGCGCACAAAAAATCTGCGATTTATAAAAGGTATTACTGATAAGCATTTTGTGCTCATCACAATTATTGACACTGTTTACCTGTATGAGCTTCTCCATTTCGGCACTCAGTGCAAGCAGTCTGCTGTATGAAAGCGACTCCAAACCTGCAAATTGAAACAGTGAACGGAAATGACAAGACGGTTGTAGAATTTAATTTCAACGCGCAGTAGACAATAGGGAAGCAATATGTGAAAAACAAGCCACTAAGAAATACACAGTCGACCGGGGACAGCGGCATTTTGAAAACCGGGGTTTTTTTTTGGGCCTGTCTGCATTTCTATGGAAATCCAAATTCAGCCTAGTAATTTTCGCTAAATTCCTACCGAAAACTTTATGAGGGGCACGAACGGAGCAGGAGCGGGGTGGGCGCACGAAATTTCACACAAGGGATATCATGCACAACAAAAACGAACAACTAGTACTTGGACTAAGCACACGAAGCAATACACCAATCTTATATGGGAAATAAGTCAGCGCCAACAAGGGGCGATCCCAAATTTGGTGGGGTGTTTCACAATCAAACTGAGAAATTTTGATTCTAAATCTCATATGGCAAAATAAATACGAGACCGGTGAGCACGATGGAGCGAGACGAGCGGGAAAGGGACAGCAAGAAAAAACTTCACAAGCCCAGAGCGAATACAAGCCAAAAGCATCACAAACGCCGAAATCACCTCACCTTCAAGCCCTGAAAAACCTATAGATTGTAAAAGAACTCGAGTAAATCAGAAAAAAACACATTGTGAACAAAAAAAGAGTGACCTGTTTAATTGGCCCATGCCATAGTAACTACAATGCTAGTGAGCCAGTAAACGGACGAAATCCAAACTGCTTTTTTCGTAAATGAAATTAACCGAACAACTCACTTTCACGATTTGTCATGATGGCGACCGCTTGCCGAAACTTAACATCCATTTCGTACTGCCCATTTGGCAGTGGTGAGCGCATCGACGAATACATACTGTCCACCGACTCCATCGTGTGATCGGTCATCACAGAGCCCGAGAAGTCGCATGACTGAACAATTACACAGTTCCAGTAATTACATATTTATATACATACGTGCATAATTTTGATACTTTTTTAACACACACATGTCAAGAAGC